TGCTGAATGGTTTGATGCAAAATAATTAAATGGTCAGAATGATTAAGAGGATCTCATGATATAGTGCAAAATGACATATAATTATTTGGTAATTATTTACAACGAAATTAGGGCGCTAAATGATTAAGAGAGACCGATGATACAAAATCATTAAGATGATTTAAGAACCATTACGAGACGGACTTTTTTTTTTCGCCAAACAAGATTCAACTCTTAACGATTCAAAAGCTGTTTCTTAATAGAATTATTAAAAGGTAAACAAACAACCCCTTATACATATTATAAAACAAATATATGTAGATTCGGGGTTAAGGAGTAGCTATCAAAATTAAAGAGGGTCACAAGAAACTTGGAATATGCCAAAGATTTATATTAGGGTAGGGATCAACATATTTATGACTCTGACCATTGACCAAAAAGAATATCAATAGAGGAACCTTTACAAAGTGTAGATAATATTATTTTCAAAATATTAAATTATTTAAATATTATTTTATTTAGAATATAAGATGATTTTGTTTTAAAAAAAATTAAAATATATATTAAATGCACAAATTAAAAAGAGGCAACCGTATATGGTAGTCTTTTCGTGACTCCGTCATCGACCATTAATTTTTTTTCCATATTTGGTATTTGTTTTTTTGACTTCGGAAAAAAAAACCTACGAAGCGGATCAATCTAATTTGAAAAAATCCTAAAAAACTTCAGTCTGAGTTAATCTCACACGTAGTTGATATGAAATTACGTCAAAACGTATTCTATTGGATTAGAATTGGGTTAAGGTAATTTGAATCCAATCCAACCTGATGACGTTCTATATGGATTTAATATGATTGTTAGACCTTAATTAATATATGTGCATTAGACATTATTAGACTGACCCGTAATTAGGTATATTCAAAATTATATTACAATTTCAAGTATAATTTTACCTTCTTATTTGCATGAATCTTTCATTTTTTTTTTCTAAGGTAGCTAGTTTTGGGGCTTTCGACATAAAAAAGCCTATCCAATGATCATCTTTTCAGTGTCCGATTAGTAGTGCAAGGGGGTGATAACTCGTGGCATCACCTGAGAGAGATCGAGTTTACGCAGGGATTTTTGGCAAAAAGTTGATTACTGGCAACTAGTCTCGTACACAACCCAACTTAAAAGACACCAATGTAAGGAGAATAACTTTTGACTCACTCCACGGCTGATGTTAACGGGGAGTTGGGATCGAACCCATAACCTATTTTATATCAACTGACTTTTTGAAGAAAAAAAAAATCTCCAATTTTGTAAAAGATCGTATTCTTTCTCATAATTTTGCTTTACTTTGAAAAACTTAATGGAAATGCTTTAAAAAAAACATTATTTTAAGAAAATTCTCCAGATTTGCTAAAAAGTTGTGTGTGGAAAGATTTGGATTTTTTTTTCTTCTAGAAATATGTTAAATGTTTGTTTAAGAAAATAAGAGACCGTTTATCAAATGTTTATCCAAATAAGTGTTTATCAAGTCATATCATTTTAGCGGATTAATATGATAAATACCAAGAATCATACACAGTAAGAGCGAGACAAGGACCAAGAGTCTTACTCGATAAGTGAAGACGACGACTCTTACCACGGTAAGCGCTTACCGGGTAAATTGTTGCATATAATATTGTTTTAGTAGATTAAAATCTTTCCCAATAAGTAAAAGATAGTGTTAAATATTACCGATAAACGTTTATCAAGTAAGTGTTTAGTAAACGACCCCTAACTGATGATTAAAATTTAAAAACGATATTTAGAATTTGAAATTCATAACAAAAAGAAAAAAAAAAGAAAAAAAAAAGGATATTCTTTCAAGTTTCAGAGCAAGGAACCGGGTCCAAATGGAGAGCGAGTCAACGAAGTCACCGACGACCGCTTGAAGAGAAAGAGGCGGTCCATCCATCTTACGTGGCAAAGTCTAAGGGTTGAAAGGGCTCCACAAAGTCGTCACTGGGCCCCATTTCTTTTGAAGGAGCCGGTCCGCTCGGGTCCATTTAATTAGTTGACTCGTGGCTGCCATTCCAGCAACAATCAGAAGGAGTTATGACTTCTATTTTCTTTTTTGTTTTTCTTTTTGGGTCAAATTGCACTTTATCCCCCCTATACTTTTGTTCTTTTCTAGTTTTTCATGTGAAACTTCAATTGTTCACATAAAAGGTCCCTTGCTCCAATAAAAGATCTCTTAAAAGTTAGTTCAGCTGTCAATATGACTTGAGTTTTTAGGGATCTTCTTCATACGTCACTCATTCGAGTTCCTCCAGAGCCACTGGACATTTTCCTTACCGTTCTGTAGGACAGTAGGGTCACATGAGATTAGCAGAGATGTGGACAAGTTGATTGGATACCCATTATTAAAAAAAAGTGAACAAACATATAAGGTGAATAAGATATTTGACAAATTAATGACCAAAACAGCGTAGATGGTAATTACTCAACACTTGAGACGAGAAGAGAAATAACTAACAAAGATTCAACGGTACACACAAAATACATATAAGGAAACTAAATACTGGAGGTAATCATAGAGTTGTCGATCAGTATTTGGCTCAAGTGTAGTCGTTATTTTGTGAAGTTGATGCAAAATTGCTCAAAACTGCAAGTGTGTAACGACATTAGAAGGAAAAAGGTACGGCGATCAGTATAATCACACGCTCATTAATTAACATATTTTCATAAGATTTATCAGCTCTTACACAATTAAGTTTAGAAAATGTTCATCCTTAGTCAATTGCTAAAAGAATACTAACGAGTAGCATATACTGTTGAAACTTAAGCCATTTAACTTAACACATCAAACACATTTTATACATATATTAAACCATCGATTGCTTGCAACATAATCAAAAACATGCACAATATAACTAGGCAACATAGGAATGCACTATATATATATATATATATATATAAAATACGATACTTATGCAAAAAAAGATATAAAGCATCATGGATATATAATAAGATAAAAATGATGGAACTATCTGATGGACCACAAAAATCCATCTACATGGTTTCTGGTATACAAACAAACTATACACATCACACTAAAACTTGACCAATACATCAATTCAATCATCGCACACTTGTTGTTCATTGAACTATAGAAGACTCAAAGCCAGATAAGATCCAATGGTTTAATGTGACAAAAAAAAAGTCGACACTCAATTGTGGTGTCAATGGTGGAAGGTTGAAGCGGGGAAGCGAGGAAGGGAAAAGGAACGACCATGAAAGAGTTAATATTAGGGACTAAAGTGGTATACGTAACGGGTTAACATTTTACAATATTGGGTGAAATACTTGAAATCAAGAATACGTGATTTAGGGTGTCAGATTTCGTAGGGTTTGGCCCAATTCCGACCAAAATACAATGGTTTGAACATTTATGAATTGATTAGACTTTCGGGCTAGGTTAATGGGTTAATCAAGTTTTTTATACAACCCTGAACTTTTTCCACTATTTATCTATAATTACTTGGAAAATTATTATGAGTTATGATATCATAAAAATTAAGCTTCACATAGTCTTTTTCTTCTTAGAATGGTACATTTTTATTTTATAATATACTATCCTTTAGACCATTTAGAAAAGTAGAATGATAAACTTAGGATGAAAGTGTAAATAAGTAAAAGTTAAGGGGTTGAAATGAAAGTATATGAAAGTAACCCGTCGTCACGAGGAGGTGCCGGATCGGTTGGGGCGGTGAATTTTTTTGGGAACGCGTCAATCTCATCTTTGACAAATCTCAGACGCAATCAATGTCATTTTCCCTAGTCCTCCGTGGGTCCCACCTGCCACCTGTCACATCCTCACCCTCCAACCTTTCTCTAATTTTATTTTTACCCTTTAAATTCTTAAAATCTAAATAAATATATATATTTTACATTAAAATCTGTCATAATCTATCATTTAATAATTTATTTATATTATTTTAATTTAATTTTAGATATCAAAAATTAATTTCAAATGTTCAATTCATATATACATTTTTGTTATTGAAATTAAACCAATAAAGCAATAACTTAAATAATTATAATTTTACTAAATGCATGATTAATATTCCAATTATAAAAAATTACTAAGAAAATTTAATCAATTTCCATATCTATTTTATATTTGATTTATAAAATCGCACTCACAAAATTACCATTTTTTATATGTGGTGAATTTTTTTTTTACAGTTTTAGTAGAACATTTATAACAAATATCTAAAATAATAAAATAAAATAATTAATAATTGTTTTCGGCTGTATGTATAACCAAAGAAAGTAAGACCGCAACTATACTCCGGTCCCATTGGCTATCGCGTTGAATAAAACGATTACTTCCAAATCGTGTGGTCAATTTTCATTTTTTTGCCCTTTTCTTTCTCCTTTGTTTCCTTATATTTTCAATTTTATGTTTTTTTAATTCAAAATTTATGCTTTAATGCTGACTTAAATAAAAACTCAAAAAGTCTGTGTTTTTATTTTTTTTAAATAATCAGAAATAATAAAAACAAATTAATTAAAATAACTAATTTTCTTGACTAAATTCACTTTTTAATTATTTTTTAAACTAATTTTTTATTTTAACCGGTATTTACACAAATGTCTTAAGCGTGTACGTAAAATTTATTTTCAAATTTAAAAAAATAAAAATAAATTCTTTATATAAATAAGGTCTGGTATGTAAATTCTATACGTAAATGGAAAGTCTTTACCTAAATTATGTAAATTTGAGTAAAGATTTTTTTAATCTGAAAATCGAGATTACACAGACATGTAAGGGTAAAATGGGGATTTGATTATAAAAAATTGCTAAAAAGTGAATTTGGTTAAAAATTTTGGTCAAATTCTTAGAAATTAAATATTTGATTATTTTTAGAAGAAAAATTAATAATTAATTTAGAAAAAATGATTCTTCAGTCTCCAGTCTCAACTTCCCCTTTTTATTGCCGAGTCCACTGCCTCTTTGTGACTTGATTTTTCTCTCTCTATCTTCATAAATGGCCAAGGGATCAAGTGGACTCTCCTTTGATTCAGATCCCATCAGATTACTATTTCCACACAAACCCACCCGCATCAACTCTTTTTCCGACAACAACAACCACCACCACCACCACCGCCACACCTGGACACTTATGGATGCCGCCGGCAACAGGTCTTCTTCACCACCGCCACCTACCACCATACAATTCCCACTCAACCTTAACTGCAATCATGATCGACCTCATGATAAAAGGATAAACGAGATGGATTTCTTTGCGGATAAAAAAAATGAAGACGATCGCTCAAGGTTGCCATCCGATCCAGCCGCTCCTCTCACCGAATTGGATTTTAATATCAACGTATGTCGATGGATTAATCAGCTTTGTGGATTTTAATTTCCTTCTGTGCATATATTGGAAACTAATAGATGTTTTTTTTTTGTTTCAAATTCTGGTTTTCTTTCCATTTCTGGATTGATTTTTGTCGTGGTTTTTGATTGAATTTGATTGTTGATGATACGTACAGACTGGTTTGCATCTTGTTACCGGAAACACAAGCAGCGATCAGTCGTTAGTTGATGACGGAATATCTCCCAATTCTGAAGATAAACGAGCTAAAAACGAGGTCCTTACCAAATAGTAATATTTCATATATAGGGAGATTTGACCTAAATTTCATTTCTGTGTTGAATCGTATTGATGTATTATATTATTTGTAGAATTTGAATTTGAAATTTGAAATTATTCGATGTGTAGTTAGCAGTCGCTCAAGCTCAACTGGAGAAGATGAACACGGAGAATCAAAGATTGAGGGAAGCGTTGAATCAATTGACGGTCAATTACAACACGCTACAATCGCATCTCGTGACGATGATGCAACAAAAACAAAGAGAAGAACAATCTGCCGATGATCATAAAACCAGTAACGACGGTGGAGGAGGTGGAGGTGAAGTTATGATTGTACCGAGACCGTTCATGGATCTGGGTTTAGCAGCTCCAACGGCAGTTGAAACCGACGAGAATTCACAGTCGTCGTCGGAAGGGAGGAGCCATGACGAACATTCACGATCACCGCCGATTCATACTACCATTGGTCAAATGGAAGAGGGTTCAGAACATGGGTCTCAGGTAATAAGGACTGGTTCGAATAAGGTTCCACGGCTGAGTTCTTCGAAGAATAACAATACCACTAATATTGATCAAGCTACTGAAGCAACCATTCGAAAGGCTAGGGTTTCTGTTAGAGCTCGATCAGAAGCTCCCATGGTACAAACTTGTTGATCGATTCATGTATTTGAAGTTGATAAATTTCATAAAATTCTGATTGAACTCAAAATTAATTTCGTCAGATTTTTAGATTGCAGATGGTTGTCAATGGAGGAAATACGGCCAAAAAATGGCGAAAGGAAATCCTTGTCCACGAGCATATTACCGATGCACCATGGCTGCCGGTTGCCCAGTTAGGAAACAAGTACGATTCTCAGATTTAATAATTCAAAACTCATATCTCATCACGAACAATAATTATATATACATATGGTGATATTTTAATTCCTTGACTGAGATTTTGTGATATTTTAGTAAACAATTGATTATGGTGCAATTTGAACAGGTACAAAGATGTGCAGAAGATAGAACAATCCTTATCACCACCTATGAAGGTAATCACAACCATCCTCTACCGCCGGCCGCCATGGCTATGGCCTCCACCACCTCTTCCGCCGCCAGGATGCTACTCTCTGGATCCATGCCGAGCTCCGACGGCCTAATGAATTCCAATTTCTTAGCGAGAACGTTCCTTTCTTGCTCTTCAAGCATGGCCACCATTTCCGCCTCCGCCCCCTTCCCCACCGTCTCCTTAGACCTGACCCAAACTCCGAATCCGTTACAGTTCCAGCGCGGCCCAGGTCAGTTCCAAGTTCCATTCTCTAACCCTCAACAGCAAAACTTCACCGGTCCAAACGCCGCCCTACTCCCCCAGATTTTTGGTCAGGCTTTATACAACCAGTCGAAATTCTCCGGCCTTCAAATGTCGCAGGATATGGAGGGTGGGGCAAGCTCGCAACTGGGTATTCCGCCGTTGCACCACCAAGGGGCGTCACCCGCCGCCTTGGCTGACACCGTGACCGCCCTTACTGCTGATCCAAATTTCTCCGCAGCTCTAGCGGCAGCTATTTCTTCTGTTTTTGGTGGCGGTGGATCTCAGCCGAACAGCGGTGGTACCACCAATCATGGGAACGTCACTGCCACCAACAGCAACAACAATGGCAGTGCAACCACCAGCAACAATAATAGCCATGGCAACAATAAAGTCAACAACTCAAGTTTTCAAGCCAATTAATTAACCATAATTAAACGGGTTTAGTTTTTTTTCCCCTTTTTTTAAAATTATTTGGTCATTGATTTACTACACACACATGTTTTCTTTCTTTCTTTCTTTTTTTGGTGTTTTTTTTATTTTATAAAAAAGAAATAGTTGGGGTTAAGTTAGATTTTTTCATTCTTTATGGTTTGAATAAGGGAATTTCTTTTTTCATTATATTTATACAATAACTAATTATTATAAAAATAGAAATTTTAAATATATATTTCCATTTTTTATGCATAATTTATTAAACAAAAATCATGATTTAATTTTATTTATAGACTAATCGTACCTCTAACAATAATAATATTTAATTAATAAGAAAATGTGATTTTTTTTTATTTGGTTTAATGGGATGGGGAGGTTAAGATTAATTGACCCATGTGGATATGTAGCAAAATAATGATAATTATTAATTAAATAATTGTAATGATTAATGAATGCATTCAAGACAAAGAAAGAAAAGTCAATAAGAGTCAACTCCTTTTATTGTGGTTCTCATGTAACCATATCTTTAGATTAAGGAAAATAAAAGTTAATATCTTACAAAATTATTTTTAATAATTAATTAATTTTGGATATTTTTATATCATAATATTTAATAAATTTAACAGACTTCCAAATATATTTTTTCATAAATTGATTAAAAACCATTAATATTTACCTTTTTCTACCTCCTATAAAATAAGTTCAAGTGACATTTAAATTATACAATCATATTTATATAAGATATTTCTTGACTTTATAATATAAATAAACAATATTTTAAATCAAATTATTGTAATTTGATGCTTATTGACAAAATTGCGTATTACGTAAATAAAAGCACACATATAGAATTATCTGTTATATTTTAAAATTTAATAAATAAAACTGTCGATAACTGATTATAAAGCATAAACATTCAAAGACAAACAACTCAAATACATAAATTAAACGCTTATTGAAACAAGAGAATTAAAATGATTTTGATGATAATACTTTCACTTACATGTTGAATTGTTAAATTGTTCATAAGGCTTATATGTTAAACAATTGAACAAATGGAGTTACTCATTCAAATGAATTTTTAGTTTGGACAAATTGCACGTAAATAATAATATATTTCTTTAAATTTGTGACATCTTGAATATTTAAGTAATATTTGTTGATAGAGGCTAAATTATGTTGATTTTTTTTATATAATATTTAGTTTTAAAATATTTTTATTAGAATTTTCATAATTAAAAACCCTAATCTATGTTCGATTTTCCCATTCTTCCTCTTCCCTGAATTGGTACGAAGTAAACTGAATCGACACTGAACATAAAGATAACATACAATTTAGAGGAAGTTAGATCTTCACAGATTAATTTGATGTCCCTGATGTTCCTTCCTCATCTACCAACGAAGTTAATTTATGGAAAGGGGACACGTATATCTTTGAGCTCCACAACAAATGTGAAGGCAGCCTCAGATGCACCTCTAAACATCCGTCATGTCAGTATTAAATACATCAACAAATAATATTGAGTTGTATGCTACATATGATACTTTAATATTGAAGATGTCACATCTCATATATCTGATGAAAATTTTGATTGTACGTTACACAAAAAAAAATTATTAGAACAAAGTATATTACATTTCCATTCAATTTATCCTTTCTAAGTTTCACTTTTTACACCAATATTTCTTATGAAAATCAAAACATTGAACTAAGATGAAAATACAATTATTATTTTACACATAAATAAACAAATAAAAACAATCAATATTATCACGACTCTTCCAATTTTGGGCAATAATTACTGATTTGATGAAAAAACAGAAAATATATTTCTTTTTCCAGTTAAAAAAACTCACAACTTTTTTATCGGAAAATGAAATCTCAAATACCCTTTTTTTTAAAGAAGGTTGATTTGACACTTTCATTAGTCACCTCTTTGTTGTTAATTTTAGAACAAATGTCAACTTTGTTAAATGTCACCATCTTTGTGAAAACTAAAGAATAAATGATTGTTTGTTTATCTCTTAATAGTTTCACTAAAAAGTAATATCTAAATTCTTAAGAGGTGAATCTTGTTTGAAAAGAAAAAATCTACTTTTTAATGGTTCTAAAATTATTTGAATGCTTTTGTATCATGGGGTTCCCTTAATCATTCAGCGTTCTAATTTCGTTGTAAATAATTACAAAAACAATTATATTTCATTTTTCACTATGTCATGAGAGCCTCTTAATCATTCTATATCAAACCATTCAACAACTACCAAACAATCCCTAAGTAGTAATATGTTTGCCTTTATTTGTTTTCTAATTAACCTATTGGTGAAGAAAGTAATAATTGGTGACTTTTTGAAAAAAGAGCAAAAACAAAGGGGCATAATTGATAATATGCATAACCTCAAGGGGCCTATTGGAACATATATAAAAAGCCATAACTGAATTGAAGACTGGGAACTGTCGTGTTCATAATATTCCTCTATTTACACGCTTTCTGCATTGTTCCTCTCGGACGGCTGTCACGCAGGTGAGTCCTCTCATTCGGCCATCATCAATCGTCTCCGATCACTTGATTTCTACTATTCATGTATGGATTCATTGTTTTGTTGCCTTAATTCTTATCTGTTTTCTTTAATTTCTCTGAAGTGTTATTATCAGTGATCGTTTTGATCGCCGAAGAAATTTAGGGCAAATACTCTGTGCTCAGTTCTCTTACGTGTATATTTGATTTGATTTAGGGATTGATTAGTTCATGTTGTACGCTTACGATTCCCTTTAGTAAACAGTTGTAGTCTTATAGTTAATTTGCGAAATTTGTGAAAACCAAGGATTTTTTTAGTATGGTGAGTGAGTGGTAAACGTAGGGACGTGGGGTGATCTTAGTTAAACAGGAATTGTACTTTGGAGATGGAAAATTGGAGTTTGATTGTGGAATGGAGGCTTGTTGATAGGTTTTTTTTTGGGCCTGATGTGTTTGTGATCATTCTGATTCTCTTGGAGCGGTGATTGACACGTGAAGACGATTTAAATAGCGGCTAATGCTTGACTTTGGTAAAGCATGGTCCTATACTTCGAGCGTGAAAATTGTAATTTTTATTTTTCTTGTGGATCATAGCAGTACTCCATAACGAGAGTGAATGATCCTCTATTGACTATAGGGTCGTTCATGGTGGGGTTTGGTGCGATTTAGGGCCAAATTGCATATGGCAAAGGATATGTGGTTTGAAGATTTTCCGAAACCAAAAACCACACCACATGATTCAAACAGCAAAAAACCGCACCATGAAATGTGGTGAGCTTTATGCGGTTTGTACCTAAAGCATTTCAATCCAATAATTATAAAAACCATCAAAATAAATTTGACAAAGACTTTTACATATTCCATACAATAAAAAGTTTCAATATGTCCGAAATGTGTAATTTAAAAAAGTGTAAAACAAACTAAAGAGTTCCATAATTAATCCAAATACATCTAAAATGTAAAATTCAAAATAAATTTGACGATGACACATGTGAAAAGGCAAAAGAAAATAACTCAAACAAAGGAATCTGTAACATAAAACTTAAAAGGAAAACTGAAAAACTAATAAACGATAATTAATGTATTATTCATTTTCAATTAATTAATGATAATGTATATATAATATAATTTAAAAATATATTAAAATGTGCGGTGCGGTGCCGTTTGAACTGTGGTTTGATGATTCAAAACCACAAACTGCACCACAAAGTGTGGTTTGATAAAAATGCAAACTGCAAACCGCAATGTGAAAGTTCTAAACCACACATTGCGGTGCGGTGTGGTGTGAGCAGTTTAGATGGACACCCCTAATTGACTAACTTGTACCAAATGCAGAAATGAATGAGTGAACTCCGAAAAATAATGGATGCCACCTTAGCATTTAGTCATGGATTTTTTTTTTAAGAAAACAAAGGTTCTTGTACTTTTAATTAAATTTTAAGTCATCAATACCGTATTGATATGTCAAAATTTTATCCACTAAATTGTTTTCCCCTCGTCCTATTGTCCCAAATGGACTATTCATATTGATTAAGATCGGACAGAAGTGATGACATTGATATGTTGTGAAATAACAAATGTCCTATTGTTATTCATCTTTTTTCATGAGAATGTAATTGAAAGGTGTGAAAGTAGTCGTGGATTTTTTTTTGAAGAAAACAAAGGTTCTTGTACTTTTAGTTAAATATTAAGTCGTGAATAACGTATTGACATGTCAAAGTTCTCTCTACTAAATTGTTTTCCCCTTGTCCTATTGTCCCAAATTGACTATTCATATTGATTAAAATCGGACAGAAGTGATGACATTGATATGTTGTTAAATAACAAATGTCCCTTGTTATTTGTCTTTTTTCTTGAGAATGTAGTTGAAAGGTGTGAAAGTATAGTGACATTTTTATCTATTTTCCTTGAGGTTTTGTTTATGAAATGAATTATGATGATATTAAAATTCATTTATTTGAGTCATTCTGCAATTTTTGTGCTAATGTTGATGACCAGTATCTAAGAGGAAACTTCAGCTCTCATTGCAGTGCTAGACATGGGTACCATATTCAAAGTGAGCTTGCTCTTGTTGTTCCTTCTTTCACCTACTGCATATCCTGCTTCTACTGGTGGATTGGTCAGAGTTGGACTTAAAAAGAGGAAAGTCAATATACTGAACCACCCTGGTGAACATGCCGGCTCTAATGATTCGAATGCTAGAAGAAAGTATGGTGTCCGTGGTAATTTCAGGGATTCAGACGGTGACGTTATTGCTCTAAAGAACTACATGGATGCTCAGTACTTTGGTGAGATTGGTATTGGCACTCCACCCCAAAAGTTCACAGTGATCTTTGACACTGGAAGTTCTAATCTGTGGGTGCCTTCTTCAAAGTGCTACTTCTCAGTGAGTGCCTCTTTTCTGGTTGTTTGGGCTTCCTGATACGACCTTTCTCTTGTGTCTCTTGCTCACATAGGGTCTATTTTCACTAAATTGATGTGAGTATTTAGCATGGTTTGATCACTCTTGGTATGGATGCAGGTAGCTTGCCTTTTTCACTCAAAGTATAGGTCTAGCCATTCAACTACCTATAAGAAAAATGGTATGGTGTCTTCTTCTGTTTCTTAATAGCTTACCAGTACTTTATCTTTCATTTCGCATTCCTCCTCCCCATACTCCTATGTTCCCCACCCCTCCTCTTTTATTGTTGAACAGAGATAATAGAGGTTGCTTCATTGACCTTAGATAAGATTAACGTTAAAGAGGAGCTACTTGTATGTGACCATCAAGTGATTAGCATGAATGTTATTTGATCCAACCCCACCCACAGAGATTTGCCTGTTCAAGTCTCCCCTCCCCCTCTGCCTGTACAAAAAATAAAGATCAGACACCAAATGGGAAAAAAATAAGAGTAAGACCACTCGTATTGCATGTGTAATGTGTGATGAACCACTTTGAGTTCTTCAGGGAACCATCTTTTCTTACTGATCCTCCACTAGACCTCTTCATTCCATTCCTTCATACATTAGATTGTTTTTGTATATGCTGAGAGAATATTCATATGCATGGTCGTATATTACAAATGGAACTAGATGATAGGCACTCGGTCAGAAAAATGTAGCAATGTCACGCAGAAAACATGAGCATGCAGCCATAACTTGCAGCCATCCCCTGAACTCAGGCTACTCTTATTTATTAGCTCTGATTTCCAATGTTATTTGAAAACTTAATATTGTTGATATCTTCGTGTCTCATTCAGGGAAATCTGCTGCAATTCAATATGGAACTGGCTCTATCTCTGGTTTCTTTAGCCAAGATTCTGTCAAACTTGGTGATCTTGTTGTTAAAGAGCAGGTAAAGATTAAGAAACTGTGCATCTCGGTGTATTAAGTCCAATGTTTTTATAGGGCCTCTTCGTCTTGACATTGCACTGTCTCCAGGATTTTATAGAGGCAACCAAAGAGCCTGGCATCACTTTCTTGGCAGCCAAGTTTGATGGTATACTTGGCCTTGGGTTTCAAGAGATCTCTGTTGGGGATGCTGTCCCTGTTTGGTAGTTTACTTATCTCCTGTTATTGAACTTTGATTCTTTTGTTTGATGTTTCATAATTGACCATTTGCGTTTTGCATACCTAACATGTTAGGTACACCATGCTGAACCAAGGTCTTGTTCAAGAACCTGTATTTTCATTTTGGCTTAATCGCAATGCTGATGAGCAGGAAGGGGGTGAACTTGTGTTTGGTGGGGTTGATCCTAATCATTTCAAGGGTGAACACACATATGTCCCTGTGACTCAAAAGGGCTATTGGCAGGTGAATCCTTGTATTTATATTTCCACCAATAGATGTAGGTAATCATTTACTTCATTATGATGGCTCTTCATAAAATCGTTGCTGATTTAGTTGTTTCTCTTGTTATAGTTTGAAATGGGTGATGTCCTGATTGGTGACAAAACAACTGGTAATTTTGTGGAACTCGTTTTTATTCTTTTTTTTTTCTGGGAACCTTGTGGATTTGTCTTCTTGAGATATTGTTCTGGATTTTATAGGGTTTCTGAGATCAGCATTTCTATTTCAGGATTTTGCGCCAGTGGTTGTGCAGCAATTGCTGATTCTGGAACCTCTTTGTTGGCTGGTCCCACGGTATTGTATACATTATACACAAATAATAGGATTCTACACAAGTAAACTGGACAATATATTTGAGTTATACAATACTGTTTGTATACCTCATTTTTTGTATACTTATGTCATGTGCTACACCACTAGCTTAGTAGAAGCAAGTACAAATATTTTAATAGAATGACTTAGTATTGTTCAGTAGTTGTTTGTTTAGAGTACATAATTACTCTAGTAAATAGAAGAGGTCACTGGCCTTATCTAAGGCCTACTATTGATACCAATTCCAATCAAGTGTGCTAGAGAGGCTACAACCTTTTGAGAGTGGAAATGTGGCAATACGAATGCCACACAACTGCATGCTTTTGAGGATGGAAATGTTGCAATATTAATGCATAACACAACTGTTGTGAGAATGGCAGTTTACCTAGAACCACATGTAGTTGCAACGAGCCACTTTACGACAATGCCTGTGTGTTAGTAAACAGATTTGGCTTTTATTCATTGTGGGACTGAACTGATTGCCTATGCAATATTGATGCCTGCTACGTTGGACTAACATTCCTTGACAATATCCAACTCTTTTAGACGATTGTCACTCAAATCAATCAAGCCATTGGGGCTGCGGGGGTTATGAGCCAGCAATGCAAGTCATTGGTTGATCAGTACGGAAAGAGTATGATTGAGATGCTGTTATCTGAGGTACCTGCACTTGGTTCTTTTTCTTCTCTCGTTTCTGGAAATTATTGCTTTTCTTTTCCCATATTCTAAATATGGGCATTTGGTAAGTGGTTCTCACTTTTATGGAATTTATCTTAGAAATTTATTGCACCGTTCAATTTGTTGTTCTGTAGGAGCAACCTGAGAAAATCTGCTCCCAAATGAAGCTATGTTCTTTTGATGGTTCTCATGATACTAGGTCAGTTGGGTATTTTAGTTTGCATTTAATTAGAATCTTGTATAAATATTCCTGGTCACAATCATGATAGGAGATATAAATAAACGATGAGGATGAAACACATTTATGAGCATAGAAATTTTTTTGCAGTTTCCATCTCTATTTTTTTAATATAGTATATATACTTGAGAGTAAATATGAATTGTTGATGTTGTTTGTTTATATATAACAATTATGTTTTGACAGCATGATAATTGAGAGTGTGGTTGACAAGAGTAAGGGAAAATCTTCTGGATTACACGATGAGATGTGTACCATGTGCCAGATGGCAGTTGTTTGGATGCAAAACCAGATCAGGCAAAACGAGACTGAAGAAAACATAATTAACTACGTTGATAAGGTGAAGTGACTTGAGAGTCGTCAAATAAGGAAAAATATAAAAACCAAAAGAAATCAATATATAAGCATTTCTGTTTGAAATTTCAGCTGTGTGAGCGGTTGCCAAGTCCAATGGGAGAGTCTGCAGTCGACTGTAGCAGTCTTTCCTCCATGCCCAATATTGCCTTCACTATCGGTGGTAAAACCTTTAACCTCTCCCCCGAACAGGTAATTTTATATTACGAATTAATCTGATTCATATTTCTCCTTCTTGTTAATAATTTGAGTTAATGTTGTTAGAATATGTGGAAAATACCCTCTAAATGATCTCTTTGGGAGAGAAGAGAGGTTCTAACATATATTGAAGATAAATGGTCCAAGTCTAACTGATGCGAGACTCCAATCACACCCCCTCCAATGTAGGCTAGACTCACACAGATTGTCCCAAAGTGATAGACTTGAGATGTGATACCATGAAATTACTTTGAGAGAAGAAAGGTTCCAACATATATAGAGGAGAAATGGTCCAAGTGTAGCTGATGTAGGACTCTAACAAACACGTGTCTTGTATGATTAGTATGTCCTGAAAGTTGGGGAAGGAGCAACAGCACAATGCATAAGTGGATTCACCGCCATGGATGTGGCACCTCCTCGTGGACCTCTATGGTACCATCATCACCACTTGCTTCTTTTTGGCATATATCTCCTTTTGTTTTTTACAAAGCCGTTTAATGGGATTTGAGCAATGTTATGAATGTGTGATGCAGGATCTTGGGAGATGTTTTTATGGGTCAATACCATACGGTGTTTGACTATGGTAACTTACGAGTTGGGTTTGCAGAAGCAGCTTGAGATCTCTCTCTCTCTCTCTCTCTCTCTCTCTCTCTTTATCTGCGTATTACTACTATTACTGCTACTTGTTTTCTGTAAGTAATGTGGCAATAAATGTATGGCATTATATGAGTTATGGAGCAGGTACATGACTTAAGCTGATGTTTATATATACAAGGGTCTCTTTCATTCCTTAGTATAACAAACTCCCCAAATACCCCCATTGTTACAACGATTAGCCTATTACCGATGTCTAGAAGCTTTGCATGTTGCATCAACTTATTCCCTGGTCGAAATGTGTGAAACTCGACCATCTGTCACTTCCGCTCCTAGCAGTACAATCAAGCAACTAAATAGGAAACTTGTTATGGCTTTGAATGTTCAGAAAACATACCCAATGACAATATGTCATAGAGTTGTATTTATAAGCTCGTGTGTGGCTTTATTTTTCGAACTAAGTCGGTCAGACTATAAAAGCAAGATGAGCAAACAAGACCGAAACTTTTAATAGAACGTGTCGATAAACAATAATTTACTTTATATTTAATTAGTCGATGTTTTTTTTGTATAAGAAGTAATATTTGGAAAGATTATAATATAAAATAAAATTCAGACAAGACGTTGTAAAAGGAAAATAGTAAGTGGAGGTGATAACATGAAATATTTATTGCATTTACACAACCGCCGCATACCTAAAAATGACGTCATCAGAACAAGTGGCAAAAAGAGCACGTTTAAGTTGGAATTAAAAAACGTGAAAATGAGATGTAAGTGGTCCCACTCCCACTCCCACCTTAACAACCAGAACTACGTGTTCTATCTCTCTATCATCAATTTCCGGTTCCATTTTGATTCTTTTAAGTAGATGTCATAATGACATTAACATGATTGATAGCCTTCGTCTTATACAAATCGATTTTACACAACCAACAAAACATGGCCTTTTCTTAAATTTCCTTTTCATATCAATAATTACTTTTCACTTTTACAATATATCAATTACCTAATTCATGTCCTCACTCTTTATATATATATATATATATATATATATATATATATATATATATATATACACANCTTTTACAATATATCAATTACCTAATTCATGTCCTCACTCTTTATATATATATATATATATATATATATATATATATATATATATATATACACACACACATACAGAGAAGCGATCAAATGAAAATCATCCTCATTTGTACAAATCACTCTCGTAACTTCGATTTCATTGTTTAATTTTATGAATTTTTTTCATGAAATTGTTTAATCTTGTGAAATTGTTTCATATAAAATATTATTTTGATGAAATTGTTTCATATATGGTTATGAAATTGTTTCATATAATATTTAATGAAACTGTTTCATGTATTTTTCTCTAAAATTAAAATAATGAAGATGATAATATCAATGATTAACACCCTCCACAATAAAAATGGTTAATCAACCTCTCATAATTACAAAAAAATGAACAAAATGAAAAATTATGATTAGTTGAATATGGTTTTCACGATTTGTACAAATTGGGTGATTTTTATTTGAACGCTCATATATATATATATAGGCACGTTCAAATGAAAACCATGTAATTCTTAAAAACCGTGTAAACTAATTTCGATCAAAAAAAAATTTCCATTTTTTTTCTAATTAAATTTAATCATTAAGGGTATATTGGTCATTTGTATTGTTTTCTATTAAATATGGAACTTATTAATAAATCTTAATTAAGGCAACATAATAAAGGAAATTTTATAAATGGTAACATTTAAATATTTAATTAAATTATAATATTAAAAATTGGATTTTGTTGTATTATGTTTCGATTTATTATTGTCAAGATTCATGAAAATTGTAAGTTATTAGAGTAATAAATCCATGAAATCAATAGAAGAATAAAAAAAATATTCATGAAAGTGGTTTCATACATGCTGAAATTGGTGCATGGAATAAGTGAAAATGATTATGGAACGGGTGCATGATGAAACCGGTTTCATACATGGTGAAATTGGTGCATAGAGTAAGTGAAAATGATTATAAATGGGTGCATGATGAAATGAGTGCATGATGAATTGGGCGAATGAGGATATGGGTGTGTGATGAGGTTTAAGATGCATGAAATAGGTTGATGATGAATAGTGAAAATGTTTCATGAAATAGGTTCATGAGGTTTAAGATGTGGTTGAGTTTACCATTTTGCCCTTCGTGCTATTATAAAATAAATTTTTTAATATATATATTTTTTTATTTCCTAAAATAAACTAAACTAATCTTAACCATTGATCAAGAAAATGGATGGATGAGATTGGTTTACACAAATGGGGGCGATTTTCATTTGATCGCTTCTCTCTCTCTCTCTCTCTCTATATATATATATATACTTAATCAAATGAGAACTAATTAGTTTGTAGTAATCATGAGATCAAATCTCAATCAATCATTTAAAATAATTATTAGTATATTTTAAATAATCATGAAAGGTAATTTGGTAAAAAGAAATTGACAACTCATTTGGTCTGCCAGGTCCTAAATTATCTCTATCTCTTTACCAATCCCTCCATCATCGCGTCCCTTCCAAACACCAGGGTTTCACAGACAAAAGACGATGGCGACGAAGAAGATTGCGACGAGGAAGAGGGATGCAGTCGGAGATGGAGCAAGTTGTGCCGGAGTCGGAGAGGATGCAGTTGGTGAAGGTGGTGTTTCTTTCGTTGAGTTTGAAGCGTTTTTTCCGACAGAGGTGCTGAGACGTATTAATGACGACGGCGGGACGACGGTCTCCATTTTTAGTTTGGTAGGAACCAGAAAGAGGAAGATACATAGATCGGGTTTTAAATCAGAGCCGTAACCAAGATCGGAGGCGTTGATGGTTACGAAGGCGTTGATAATACCCACAAATCATACATACACACTGTTAACTAATGCTCTTGCAATTCACAGTGATGGGTGTTGAAGATCATCAGATTGACTGTATGGTCTACTCTTGCACTTGCTCACTAACATAACCATTTTAGGGATTTGTTGGTGATACCCACAAATCATATTTTGAATTCAAACTTTTGATCCAGATTTATAGTTTGATATATACCAATTTTTATGTGAAACTTTTTTGATTGGATCCAGAACGAATGCCAAATCTGATTAGTTGAATTGAAATCAGTGGTATCATAATGCATCTTATATGTGTTTGGGTATCACACTAAGGTCATTTGTGTGGTCGATCGGAGATGAAACATAGTGGTATCACAGTGCATCTTATATGTACTTAGGTATCACACTGTGTCTTTTGTTTAAACAGAGTCAATATTTTTAGGTATCACAGTGGTATCACCAGAGGACGGTGGCCGAGGGGACGGAGAGAGAAGAGATGAGAGTTTTAAAAAACCTAAAATGTCCTTGCATTAAAATTTTAATTCAAAATTATAAATTTCCTAATTTATCTATTGATTCGTGGTTGAGATTGGATCTCACGGTTAACACAAACTAGTCAGTTCTCCCTTGAATGTATATATATTGTGTGTGTGTGTATGTGAATAAATGATATATAGAATTGAAGTATGGAAACAAAAGATGATTAAAAAGTAATGGGAAATGTGGAATGGTTGATAACCAAGTATATTAAGCATGCTTCATTTGACTTTCCTTCTATTATAATTACTTGATTATTATTATTATTATATGCATTTTAATACTTTCATTACTACCCCTCTTCATTTCAAACCACCATTTACACTTTTTTTTTCATTTCTTTTATTTGTTTCACATTTAATTATTTAAATATGTTTGTAACTTTTATCATTACAATTGTTGATATAACATAATGCTTAGTTTATTATCTTTTTATAAATTACAAAAATAAAATAATAAAAAAGTTTTATCATTTTAACCATTAACGTCTGGTGCTAGCATTCCAGTTCCAAAAAACATACGGTGACACCCGACAAAAGAATACGTTGACACTTTTCAGAATCGTAATTTTTTTTCCCTTAACGACGGAACCATGAAGCCATGTTATCATTCCATATGTTGTATAAACAAAGTTTGTGAGGGTGTTGTTACATGTGGAATTAGTGTGATTGATATAAAATATTACATAAAAGCATAAAAGGGTTGTTTTTGCTTAAAACAGAGATGAGGATGTGTGAAGGAGTGAAGGGACACGTGCGTGGAGTGTGGCTAAAGATAACAGCCACCAAATAAGCAACAAATGAGGAATATATATATAGATTGAGAGATACATGACATCATGTGAGACTAAAGGTTTTTTGTAAGATCCGTAAGACCAATTCTCAACCATTGAATTAGATCTACAATCTGAACATTCATAATCATAAAATTGTCACGAGACTTCTCAATAATTACAAAATTACCACCGTACAACTTTAGACCATTAGATCATTAGCTTATAAAGTTGATCGACGAACATAAATTGGTCTTACGGGTTTCACGAAAAATATTTGCTCTCACGTAAACCCAATTTATATATATATATATATATATATATATATGTATATATATTTGCAAAATATGCTTTACGTCAACTAACATCAAAACTTAAGTTATATTATCCTTTTTTAATATATTATCTTTTCGTAACTTGGATTTTGGTCATACTAAAACTTACTAAAAAAACATACTCCAACTTTTACCATATACTAATTCAAACCCAGTAGTAAAATGGAAAGCCAAAGGAAGATTTTTATACAAGTATAAAAACGTGCGGAGGTTGTAAGGGTGTCGGTGCGACCGAAGGAGAGACGATGAGAAAAGGCGGAGGCGAGGAAGAATGTAACTGGGGCAATGGAGGTGATTGGGAAAAATCAATCGTGAATCATGAAAATCTAAGGTTTACATTTGAAATTTGAAATGGTAAGAGAGTTTTTGATGATAAGATGAAAATCTTGGAAACATAAATGGTCAAAATTTGAAAGGGGTAGATGGTTTAAAACTAAATATGGAAAAGATAAAACTTAAAAGTATGAGTTGTAAAAGGTGAAGCATTGTTGAGTCGTACCATATGCATAAATGACTTATAATTAAGACTTCTAAGACTTTATGCATAAATAAGCAATACATTATGTATTTAAGGTTGTTTTTTTAAGACTTTTATCAAATCTGTTTTATAAAGTAGTAGTATAAATATGTAATTTCCCATTGCATATGATCAAATGCAATTTCGGGTAGTAAATAAATTGATTGTTGGAAATCAAATGGTTGCTTCTGATCTGGGTTCCATAATGAAATGGTTTAGAATCGTGTTTAATCAATGTTTAGATTGATATTTTTTTTTATCATCCGAAGGTAATTTATTCAATATTTTTATTAAATAAAAACACATACTAAAGGGTGAAATGCTTATTTCTTACATCATACAGACAACTTTATGAATACATACAACTTTACTCATACATGGAAAAGAAATTAAACAACTTCTAATTGTTAGTCGAAAAGTTAGTTGTTGATTAATAAACTAACTGATAAATTAGTTATGTGCAGTAAAACTTAGTTGATAACGATATAAAGTAAAAAGTAAAACATAATAAACTATCTTAATTAACTTTTCAAAAACCTGGCTTTGGTAAAATCAAAAATATGTTTTTAATGAGCTCAAATACATTTGTTAATTTATACGGTTGTCAAATATGATCTAAATTAAAAAAAAAAAAACTCAAATAAGTTACACATATGAATGAATTTAGAAAACTAAAACGGTAATGTCATTTCGTTAGCACACTGTTACTCCCTTTGTTCTGAAATAAATATACATAATAAAAAACAGATAAAATTTATGAAAAAAATGTAATTATTACTTTTTAATGAATTAAATTAATAATTTTAATATCGATAACTGAAAAAAATAACTAATTTATCCATTTCATAATTAAGGATATAATGAGAA